GCAACAATGACTTCAGTAATAAGAGGATTTGCAAAAGGCTTTCTACACAATCCAAATAATCCCAAGGAAACAATTAGCAAGGTAGAAGCAGAACACAGGGCTGTCAAGATGGTGCTAGCGCACTGATAGGGAATTTTCCAACTGTGAACACACACCGCCAGGGCAAAGTCCTACTTTAAACCGATGGTGCAGTGCTGATCCGGAAGGAGGGCAGGTGCATAAAAGTATGTCCAGGACTAGGACAGCCCACTACCTAAGACTCTTCCTATACCACCGAATTAACAGGACGGGTTAGCTGAGTGCGCGTACTATGCACACCCTTCCCCCATCATGTCAACTCAAGCAGAAGGAAGGCAGTTTGTGACTTAGAATACTGACTGTCTAAAATGGGCTATGTCAATTGTGGAATGGTATTTTTAAGTTATCTCACTTAATGGATATGTCTATATAAAACCCTTACTAAACAACAGAACTACTCCATTTAAAGTGAATTTAAAAGTAAATCTCACCAACCTGAAACTTTTCAGGCACTACAATGTATCATATCCTAAACACAGACAATTCAGGAGAAGAGTCATAAAAACTCCATGAAGTAGCCATTATTACCCCCCCCCCCCCCGCAGGATTAGTTTACTTATTTTGCTCTAGCGTGTGTGCACTCACCAGAGAGGGGTGGGGTCGCCCTCAGGTGCACACACCACAACCTTCTCCTACACTCACCTCTGAGAATTCGCGTTTACCCAGTGTATTTGCCAGGACACCGCCAGAAACTCAGCTGCACAGGTGGCTATGTGGGATCCAGCCACTTTAGCCACCATGCCACCTGGCTAGCCCATTTACCTCCCCCCCTTTTTTTTTTTAAAGAAACTGAAGTACAAAGAATTTCTTCACTTAATGTCACGCTAATACTCTGGAGTGAGGCTTTCGCCCCAATTTGCTGACCCCCGGATCTGAGCTCGTGGCTACTATGCAGTAGGAGGGCTGCACACTCGGGGACCGGAGCATCACAGCGGGCCAGAACAGCCAGTGCCTGCACACCCAGGGTCGCGTACCATAGACCCTGTCGAGGGGGCCTGGCTCTCCCTCCCGAGTGTGCACACACTCTCATGAATGAAAAGTCAGGTGTGTTTGGGTATACAGAAGACTACACTTGATTTGGAGTGAATTCTCAAGGCTGTCATCCAATCAATAACTGCTTTATTCAGAACCAGTCTTCAAGCATGCCAAATGTTAGATTAGAAGACAAATATCCACCTTTTCCCAACATTAAGAATGAAATCAGACACAACGTGAATACGAGAAAATGAAAGATAAGATTTTCTTGCAAATCAATAACTTATAAAACCAAAAACCTTTCTTCACTTTTAGCTCAGCACTCTGTATTTCTAGTTTTTTCCCATCTTACAGAATCACAAAGTGCTTAGAAGAGAGTCTGGGGAGGAGCTGCACACACCCATGCAGGTGGCCGTGAGACCTGTGAGTCACACAGGTCTCATCGGTAAAATGACAGCTGCTGTGGGACCAGGACAGTGTGCTCGTCAGACAGGGCCTGACCTGGAGGAGGCAGCTGTACCCCATCCTGTCACTGAGTAAATGAGACAGTTTTGGAAAGCATCATTTTTTAAAAAAGAATTATTTAACTCGATATCTATCTATCTATCTATCTATCTATCTATCTATCTACCTACCTACCTACCTACCTACCTACCTACCTATCTTTTAATCTGACCAGAGAAGGACAAAGTGAGAGTGAGAGAGACAGAGAGTAAGTGAGAAGGGAGCTGCCAGGTCGGGGACTCAAACCGCAGTCGGCCTTGTGGGAGTCCAGAGCCCTTAAACACCACACCACCTGCCAGCCCCAATTGTTTTTTTGTTTTTTTTTTTAAGAAATTTTTGCTATAGGGCACATGTGCTCCCCAGAGAGACAAAGAGAGAGTGAAAGCGAGAAATAGGGGGATGGCCACACCACAATCCCTTCTTCATTTTCCTCTCAGGATTTTAGGCACGCATACACACACACATGCACACATGCCTGGCGTGAGATTCAAGCTATGGGGTCCGGGACTTGAACCGAGGTTGACCACATGGGAGCCCAGCGTCTTAACCATTGCGCCACCAGCTGGCTCCTGAAAGCATCAATTTTTTCATTGCCACAGGGCACATGCCCTGACCAGAGACACAGAGAAAGGATGGTCATGCGGCAATCCTTTCACGTCCATTCCTCCCTGCTGTTAGAATCTGGGGCATGCGCACACACGCCCAGTGTCTTTTTCAAACTGTGGGGACTGGATTGGAATTGCAGTCAGCCACGCGGGATCCTGCTCCCTTATTAACTACTAGGCTATAGCATCAGCCCTTGAGAGTATCAGTTTTATCAACCAATAATTCACAGTGCTTTGTATTAAAATAGTACGTAATTGAACAGAACACAAACGTCAAGGGAGTTTCAGGGCACAACGTGTTGGACTGGGAAGCTGAGACTCAATGGCGAACGTGACTAGTGGGTGTTATTAAGTGTTCCTTTCTCTCCTCACCTGCCTTCTCAAGGTAAATGCACTGTCTGCACTTCCAGAACACTTGTGCAGCTTCCCCCTGCCTTTTATACCTTAGACAGTAAGACCTTTAAGCATCTCTGTGCCAGTTTGGTCTCCCACATTTCATCCCTGCACTTGGAACCACAGCCAGACAGTCCCCACCCACTCCAGAGTGTCTGCGGGTCAGTCCTCCCTCCCCTCCCCAGCTCCTAGGCAGTGTGACCCTCCTCTCAGGGGAGAGAGCCCCACGGGCCTCCCCAAGCAGAGGCTGGCGGGCACACCCACACAGGCCAGCCCCAGGGGCAGCTCTTGCCCTCCACTGCCAAGTTCCGCTGGCAGCTGACTTTGTTACAGGGGAAAGGACAAGAAAACTCCTCCTCCCATTCTCCACCTAGGGAACTCTGAGTCCCAGAGGGCAGGTACAAATGCTAGAAGGTTGTCCAGGCCTCTGAGGAGTTACTCACCTGCTCACCTGCATGTCCCTACCATGGCACATTTAAGTCCCGAAGAAATGAACAGCCACCATTCACCACAAAGTCTTATATGTTCACTTCATTTGAAATATCAGCAAAGAATCACTTAATTTAAAAAAGAACTTAAAAAAAGTCATGATGAATTTTTTCATGTTTTTCTATGGAAAAGCACGTCATGACTTTTCCAACAACTCAATATGTCTGAGAACTCTGTGGGAGATTGTCAGTCGCTTACACTTCAGCATGAATGAATTCAATCCAATTGTTTTCCATAACACCTAGTTTAGGAGTATATTAGCGAGGTAATGGCTGTTTCTATTAAAGAAGAGGCCAATAAATACTCCAGTAAAGTTTTTGTTTAGATAATCTGGGCTCAGGTGAGAAGTTGGGAGCACGTGGTTCACAGAAGGTAGGAATAATTAGAAATCGTAACAAATGTTAAGTATATACAGGAGCTAAAAGAACCAAGTTCAAATTCACATATTTAAAATTTATGCCTAGAAGTCAGCCCATTGTGTAAACAGGGGGAAAGAACGCTCCTCCGGTACCTAGAATTAATGGCTAACACTATTAAATCAAATTAATTTTATACTTGTGATAACTCAGTTACAAACTGCTATCTTAATGTTTTTTTTTCAATCTGCCAGAGGTGCATGTCATCCCTAGACAGAGCGAGAGAGAGCCGTGGGAATGGCGGCGCTGCAGTCGGCCTCCTCCATTTCTCTCTACTGTCGGATCTTGGGCACATGCCCACGTGCGCCTGGCATGTTTCTCAAGCCGCCGGAGCCAGGACACACCACACAGTTGTCCATGTGGGATCCACCGACCTGAACACCATGCCGTGGCCTGTCCCCAAACTAGTGTTTCAGAACATAGCTTGTGTGCGCAAATCGAAGTCCCTCGCGCCCTCCTTCCTAAAATCACGACCCTCACCTGGTCCCGCCATCTGTGCACACCACTGTGCTGAGGGTACTAGTCCAAGCAGGATGCCTGACGGGGCCAGACAGGACTCCCTACTTTCCGGCTCACGGGGAGCTTTTGCATGCAAAACCCCACTGGTTCCACACCCTCCCCCGAGGCAACCTCAATGCTACCCCAATATCTCTCTTTTTTTTTTTTTTTTAATAATTTTTGCCTTAGGGGCATGTGCACTTCAGAGAGACAGACAAGAGACAATGAGAGGGAAAGTGAGAAATCATCCCCTCCCCCACCTCAGAGGATGGCCACACCACAATCCCTTCCCCTCCGTTCTCCTCCCAGGATCACGGGCATGTATGCATGATTTTTAAACCACCGGGTGGGTCTGGGTCTCGAACTGCAGTCAGCCATGTGGGAGTCCAGCAACAGAACCAC